CATATCCTAACAGAGGAGCAAGTCCTCGTGGCCTTCCAGGCCCTGAAGGACGAAGCGGCTAGCTTCGCCAGGTCACTCGCGCGTACAGCCGGTTGTGAAAACAACCTGGTTGCATATTCCAAAGTCACTCCTCTTTCCCAATTCCTCAAGCTCCTCAAGGAGCGTTTCGCTGACCCAACGCGAGGCATTAGAGCCGCTGATAAGCTCCAAACGATTCACTCGCAGCAGTGGAGGAGTGCTAAGGCACTCAAGGGTACTGTGGACGACTTGGTAGCCGTCCCGGACCACGGGGTCACTGAACCCCAGTTGGTCCATTTGTTTTATCGTGCCATTCCAGAAGCCCTACGCGGGCATTTCTTTGACAAATCTCAGCAAGCCGGCATGACTTACGATGTATTGAGTAGAGAAGTCGTCTTGTATGAGTCGAAGTCTATGCCTGTTACCACTTTCTGGCATAAGGATCTGGAGAAGGGGAAGAAGTGGAAAGATCGTACCATGTCGGGCCAAGTTAAGGCCAAGGATCACTTGATCCTGACATTAGAGGAGGGTGGTACGGAAGAGGTCCCATATGATCAGATTGAGTGGGGCCTAGGGGAGGAGTACAGTTGTGTAGGGCAGGGGAGGTCTTACGCTGTTGTCGCGGCCGGAGGGAGGCCGCAAGGTAGAGGAGGAGGCCAGGGCCAAAGGGGCCAGGCCATGGGAGGCCGAGGACCGGGCGCACAGGGGGTTGGCGGACAGGGAAACCGCCAAGCGGGAGGTAGGGGTCAAGGTCNGGGCCAAAGGGGCCAGGCCATGGGAGGCCGAGGACCGGGCGCACAGGGGGTTGGCGGACAGGGAAACCGCCAAGCGGGAGGTAGGGGTCAAGGTCCCCCGTTAAATCGCCAGGGTAACCGGACCCCACAACGAGGAGGTGGAAGGGTACCTCAAGGAGGATGGCATCCAGGCTTGCCGCAGGGCAGGCCCTGGGAAGACTTGGGCTTGGACCGACAATTATGGCAGGAACGCGTGAACATGGGTCAGTGCCTATTTTGTGGTGACCCGGCGCAGGTAATTAAATTTTGTCCTAAGTATAGACAGGCCCGTTGGGCTGCCCAACAGTCAAAAGGCAGCCGCCAGTAGGGGTCGCAACTGCCCCTACTTCAAGGCCATGTGGAGAAGTGAGCGCGCGCGAACAGGACACTCCCAACCCACATGAGCCTATGGCAGAGGTTGCAGGCCCGTGCCTAGATAGCTGTCTAGAGACTGCTTGTGTTAGCGTCTCTTTAGGCACGTCCCTCACAGGTGTGGCAGAAGAGTCAAAGGAGAGGATGCCAGCCTGGGCCAAAAAGGAGAGTAAGGGACAGTTGATCTTAGTAGATGTAGAGGTGTTTAGGAGTAGAGTAGGGGCCCTCATAGACTCAGGGGCTACCCGTAGTTATATTAGCCGTAGGGCGCTGAAGAAGCTGAGGCTAGGACTAAAGGTCCAGAAGTTAATAGACCCTATAGTCAGTGTTCTCKCAGACAACCGCACGATGCGAGTTGAGGACTACGTAGAGGGAGTTCAGGCATACTTTCGCCTAGAGCAGAATGAAAAAGTGGAGAAGGTCCTCCATTCTTTGACTCTCCTCGTGCAGGATGACCTTCCTTTTGATGTAGTTTTAGGAATGGATTGGGGAGAGGCAGCAGGGGCCACACTCCAGTTGAGAGAGGTAGAGTGTAGGCTCCCTAGTCCGTCAGGCGAGGTTAAGACTGCTCGCTTGTTTCATGTGTCTGGTGTAGACAATACCTTGGCACATTGCTGTCTCAGTGCTCCCGCGTTCGGGCGATTAGTAAAAAAGGAGCAGTTAGAGGAACAGGTCTTTGTAGTTTATGTTAGACCTGTCACTGAGGCCCAGGAAAAGGATAGTTCCACATATCCAACAAGTGTCAAGCTGCTGGAAGAATTCAAAGACTTGACTCAGTCGCCGAGAGGAGTAGTGTCGCGACCCATCCAGCACAGGATAGAGATAGAGCCTGGCAGTAGAACTCCTAAGGGTGCAGTCTACAGGATGTCCCCTAGAGAGTTAGAGGAGCTTCGCAAACAGTTAGACGAGCTCCTTGAGAAAGGTTGGATCAGGCCCAGCTCATCTCCTTTTGGAGCACCCGTCCTGTTCGTCCCAAAGAAGGAAGGAGAGCTACATATGTGCATAGACTATAGGGGTTTGAATGCGATTACCGTGAAGAATGCTGAACCGCTGCCCATGATAGACGATCTTTTAGATCGGGTGCAGGGGTGCAAATATTTCTCTAAGATAGACTTAAAGTCCGCATATCATCAGATAGAGGTCCATCCTGATGACCAGTACAAGACTGCGTTCCAGACGAGATACGGACATTATGAGTTCATAGTGATGCCCTTTGGACTAACCAACGCGCCAGCTACTTTTCAACGTTGTATGAATGACCTGTTTAGACCGTGGTTAGACAAATTTGTGGTAGTTTATCTAGATGATATTCTAGTTTTTAGTAAGACCCTCCAGGAGCACCAGGGTCATCTGAGGCAGGTCTTGGAGAAGTTGAGGCTAACTTCAAGATCAACGCGAAGAAGTGCGAGTGGGCCAAGACGCAAGTCTTGAACTTGGGCCACGTGTTGGACGGAGATGGCATTAAGCCAGAGGACAGCAAGATCGCGGCGATTAGAGACTGGCCAACGCCTAGGCTTAGCTAATTACTATAGGAAGTTCGTGAGGAACTTCTCCACTATCGCCGCCCCCTTGCGCAGACTGCTAAAGAAAGAGGCAATCTGGCAATGGGATAAATATTGTACGTCTGCGCTCAAGAAGTTAAAGCGCGCGTTAATAGAATATCCTGTCCTCAACGTAGCAGATCCATCCTTGCCATTTGTCGTTACCACGGAC